ATTCAATGTTAGTCACTTGTTCGTTGTTGTTTTCTTTTTTATTTAACAATGAATGATTGATCGACTAAGAATATTAAGCTCTTGAACAGTTTATATATATATGAGAATATGTGTGCTCTTTTTCATTTCCGCATTATTGATGTGTTTATAGATATGTATGTTTAAATCAAGGCTAATAAATATATTTCGTTAAATATGATGTAATTTTGATATATATATATATAAAGGTAAAGAATCATTTATTTGGGTCGACACAATGATTATTTCCTCTATTTGTTTTTAATTTCGCATGCTGTTTGAACTTATCGGTCGAGTTACTTGCTTTACTTACTTACTTACTTACATGCATATGTACAAAAAGAAGACGATAGACAGACAGACACAGACAAATGAATAAGAGAAAGTGTACACTCGAGAATGAGACTCGACTACTGACTACATCCGTTTTTGTCGTTGTCGCGCAATTTGACTTTTCCTTAATTGTACGGAAACGAAGACAGAAAAAAGACTAATTAAAGACGTTTGAAATCTGATGACTATGTTATGTTCGGTTGGTCAAGAATATGAGTAACCAACTAATGTCTATCAACATTCAAATCGATTCTTGTCAACCTGACTGTATACATTCAATCAGACGTTTTAATTGAGGAAATGAAAACAAGACGAGACTTATGATGACGCCATAGGGAGGCATTATTTCAACAAAATGATATATCTGAGTAACAAAAAAAAAAGAAATTCTTTTTGTCATAGAAGAAAAGGAAATTCATTATCATTAGTAACATTCTTGGACATCATTACTGGTCTGCTTTTCAACATGCATTATTCATTCTTTAAAAACAACACTGAACTACTAATACTGTTATTTCATGTCAATAGGTTTTTGATAAATATATTTCTAATCAATAAAGATTAAATCAATATTTGATTTTTTTGCTTCATATTGTTACCTAATCTAACAAGTACACTCTTAACATAGGTAATACATTTAATTTTTAGAATTTTTTGTCGTTATTGATACTGTTTGCACTCGTATCTTACATACATGTTAAGTTTCAGTGATGTGATGTAATTATTTTTTATACTCTACCTTCATATTCCGATCATTTTTTGTTTCATTAAAATAAATAGTCTAATTATTAATTCTCTTAAGACGAATGAAAGGAAATATTTTATTTTACAAAAAAGATTGATCAAGAACAAAGGAAAATTCACCATAAGAATATTCATCATATTTTCCATCATCTGTTTTTTTGGAAATTTCTTTTCCATCGAGAATTTCTCGCATTGCTTTTGCAGCTTTTATAAGTAAATTTGGTTCAACATTCGGTATATTATGACCAGGTAATATTAAATCAACTTTTGTACTGATTTTAGCTAATTTTTCTAATGATTGTAAAAAATCTTTGAGATTAGTTTCTGGACGATAAAGAAGAATTGGACCTTGATAGAAAGTATCACCAACAAATAATAAACGTTCTTTTTCATCAAGAAGTGATATTGAATCTGGTGCATGGCCAGGTGTTGAAATCACTTTTAACTTTTGTTTTTCACCAAGATCAATTTCATCACCTTCTTTGACATAATTATTAATTTGAAATGGATGAATTCGATAAGCTTTAGGATTAAAATCTTTTGGTAAATATTTTTCCCAGATCATACCTGGTTGTAATTCATTTTGAGCTTCTTCTATTGATCCTTGTGCATTCTGTTGAGCAAATTCTGAATGAACACCTAATAATGATCCTGAAAAACGCCAATTATCACCAACATGATCATGATGAGTATGTGTATTGATAACTTTCAATGATGTTGATGAAGGAATAAGAGAATTAATAATTTCTTGAATATTTCCAATACCCATTCCAGTATCAATTAATAATGAATGTTTAGAACCAACGACAAGATAAGATATTGATTCTTCCCAATGATATGGTTCATAAATAGCAAATACATGTGGACGTATACGATAGACTTCAAACCATTGTTGAGATTGAATTGAAACACGATCAAGTAAAGAATATTGTGGACGTGGTAGTTTTGAACACCAAGCTGGTTTCTTTGATGAAGACAATAGTCTAAATAAATAGTTTTGATTTATAGAATAGAGTAAACGAAAAATAATATTGATATACCTTCTGGTAACGAATGGAATCAGTTGATGAAATGTCAACATTATACATGAAATATTCAGTTCGATACAATCGTTTCATACATTATATATTGTACATAAAAAGTAGATTAGTTACAGAGCTTCAAACGGTTTATTTATATCAAAGAAACAAAATAGAATTCTTTTATAAAATATAGGTGAAACAAATATGATAAGAAGTGATAAGAAAATGTGACTGTGATATGCATGTAAGAAAAGGTTTATTGTTATTCAATATTTGGATCAAAACATATAATGTTTTTATTTTTCAAGAGAAAATGCTAATAAACAAGAAAAAATGAAATCAATTGATATTTAATATAGATTATTATAATTTACTGAGAAAATTAAAAGTCAATTCAAGAAATGAAATTAGTTTTCCTTATTAGGTACATTTTGCATTTTAATGTTATTTTCTTTTAAAGCATTTTGACGATTTAGCTCCAGAATTTGTTTTTCTTGTTTATGCATTCGATAAACACCAGTTAGAATTGTAAATATAATAGTTCCGAAATAGTATGCAAAAAGCACACCTAAATCTTCGTTAAGTTTAGTATATGAACCAAAAAGCAAATGGCGACCTCCATTAAAACAATGATATAATGGTAAACCGTATCCGACACGATAGAATCTATTCTGTAATTGAATAGCTATATTGTTTGTTGATGCAGCAAGATTAACAATCAGAAAAAGAATAAGAGCCATTTGTGCTAAAACACCTAAATTAATGACAAATAGACCAATTATGACTGTGAATGTCATAGCTGCAAGCCAATTAAAAAGCCAAAATCGGATGAAAGGTACAGGTTGATTAAAATCAGCAAACCAAAGAACACAAAGACTATAGATAAGAGATATTATAAGACCATTAAAAATAGTGTTAATAATACGAATGAAAACAACATCAATAATTTTAATTTTACCAGCGAGTGGTTGAGTTATACGTACAGCTACACCAACTAAACTGAGCATAATAAGCCAAAGAAAAAGATATCCAAGTGTTGTAGCAAGTACACTACCATAAGGTGTTGCTATGTGTGTATTCATACTGGTATAACTAATAGGCGAATGAGTTATATTGGACAAAGATATAGCTGCAATAACATTTGTAAGTGTTGCATTAGAATATTGAACAGCTTGAGTTTGTAAATAAACAGATAATTGAGCACTAGCTACCGCGATAGCTGCTACAATTGGTGGAAGTACATAACCATTAACTGTATTAAAATTACGACCCTGATCATAAACAATTGTTACTGCTGATGATGGACGATAGGAGATTTGACTTGTATTTCCATTTAAAATAGATTGAACAATTTGAGTGAGATTATCACTTACACCTGCATGCATGTAGACAGATGCCCAAGCTTTTCCTTCATCGATTTGTTTAACGAT